ACGGCTGCACGCCCTCCCGCTGCCGGCCTGCTCGCGGTTCCCTGCAGCCCCGGGGGCGGTTTGGACCCCCCCCAGGTACGCCAGATCCCAGTTCTGCCCAGGCCAGGGGCACGGTGCCACCAAATCCCAGTGTCCAGGGGTGTCGCGTGGCCGCCTGCCCACTGGGTCCACCCACGCCGGCCCCGGGCGCCGTGTCCCGAGTGGCCCCGTGCCGCGGGCCGGCGGTGCAGCCGGCTGCACTTGTCTGCCGGCTGTCGCCGAGCCAGAAAGGGCTGTCTGGGGCCGCGCTGTTCCCGGCACGCCGTTCCCAGGGCGCCGGCTGCGCGCCGCATCCAGGGCTAAAAACAACCGGGGGCTGCTGCGAGCGGCTGCCGTGGCGCAATCCCGGGGAGGGGGGGAGCCGGAATGGGGCACCCCAGCACCGTGACCCCACTGGCAGTGGGCACGGCTGCAGGACCCACGGCTCCGTGGGTTCGTCCTGAGGGTCAGAGCTGTGCTGCAGGGTGGGGGCCAGGCTGGGCCCTGGGGTGCTCCCTCTGTGGGTGGGGGTCCCCAGGGTGCTGGGGGGGTCAGGCTGGTCTGCGCACCGCTGGGCCTTTGGGGCTGAGCCGGGCTGGCTCGCTCCTTCCAGGATCTGGCGGGGCGGTGGCGGCGTGGCACAGCCGTGGCCGTGGCGGGGGCCGTGGCGGGGGCCGGGGGCACCTGTTCCCGCAGAAGAATGGCGTGTCTGGCGGCGGGTGCGGGAGGTGTAACCGGAGCGGCGCGTTCCCGGCGTAACCGGAGCCGGCCCGGCTGCGACAGGTGGAATTTCAGTTTGTGGCTCCCAGCCGGCAGTGGGGATGTGGGGGTGCGAGGGCGAGGACCCGTGCCGTGGGGCTGGCAGCCGCTCCCTGGGGTGCCTGTGTGCCCCCACGGGGTGGGGAGGCTGTCACCGACATCGTCCCCACCAGCCAGCGCGGTGTCCCTGGCCCTGTGTCTGTGCTGGGGGAAGTGGCGTGGGGACACCGGTGCTGCCCAGGGACCTGTGGGGAGGGGGCTGAGCGAGCCCCTGGGTGTGCCGCTGGCCCTGGGGAGTGGTGTGCAGGTCCTGGGGTCCACAGCGGCCCCAGCACCCCCGGATCCCCTCGGATGGGGGCTGCGAGCAGCCCCAGCTCTGGCGCAGGGTGCCTGTGCCGCCGGCTCTGGTCCTGCTGCTGGGCTGGGGCATGATTCACGCCCGCCCGGGGACGTGAGAAACGTGACGGTGACTCACGGCCGAGATGCTTCAGGGATACGGGGAGGGGGTCTCGCTCAGCGGCCCTGACAAGGGGGGGGCACCTCACACCCCCGCACGGCGCTGGCTGGCCCAGGGAGAGCTGGGGTTGCCGGGGGGGGGTGGGTGTGGGGGGGCTGGTGGTGGTGGGGAACAGCCAGGCCTTTGGCATCGCGTGTGAGGCTGCCCCGGGCCGGGCGCTGCCAGCAGCGAGGAAACCGCAGGCTGTGACCGCAGAGCGGCTCCGTGGGTGCTTCCTGCCCTGCCCGGGAGGCTGCCAGCGGAGCGGGGCCACCCTGCTCCCCCCGTGCTGGGGGGCACGGCACCCCCTCCCTCTGCCAATGTGCTGCAGGGGTGGCCCGGCACCGGGGTGTCCCCGTGACCTGTCCCGGTGAGGATGGGGGGACACGGGCAGCAGCCACCCTGGCCAGATTTGGGGAGCAGAGTGGGCTGGCAGGGGGCTGGGGCGGTGGGCTCTGGGGTGTCGGGGGTCAGGGTTGACAGGGGAGAGTGGTGACAGGGTCTGGGATGACAGGGGGCCGGGGCTGAACCGAAACCTGGCCCACCCGGGAATCGAGAGCGGCGAGGGGAAGCTGCGGCCGGGAGCACGGTGCCCGCAGGCATGACAGGAAGGGCCCGATCGCTGCCCGCCGCCCCACCAGGCACCCCACAGCAACCCCGCTTGCCCCCACGGGGAGGGGGGGGTGGGTCACACACACACACACAGGGCGGTGCCCCCGCTCACCGGCCTGTCACATCCGGGCGCTGGCACTGCCATCGCCGTGTGCCCCAGCAGGAAGCGCGGCTGGGTTTGGTGGTGTGACATGGGCACCGGGGGCTGGGGGTGCCGCCTGCACGGAGGGGGTTCGGGGAGCCTGTGGGGGGGTGGGATGGGGGGGGTGCTGCCCAGCCTCGGCGGGCAGGGCTGGGGGTGGCTGCTGCGGGGGGGGGGTGGGGTGGTGGTGAGTGTCGCGGTGCCACCGTCCCGCTGCAATCCCGGTCGCTCTGCGGTTAGCGTTGGCTGTGCCGAGAGCAGGACGCGGCCCTGCCTGGGTGTGGGCAGCAAATCCAGCCTGGGGTCACAGCTGGGGGGTCTCAGGGCGGGGGTGTGTGTGTGTGTGTGGGGTTGTGCCAGCGCTGCCCGGCCTGTCTGGGTGCGCGGGGTGGGTTCTGTGCCCTGGTTGGGGTCGTGGTCACCCCAGCCGCGCTGCTGCCGGCCCTGGGAACGGCTCTGGTCTGTGCGTCCGTGCGTCCGTCCGCTCCCGGGGGCCACCCCCGGCCTGAGCGGGAGGTTCCTCGTGGCTGGGATTTGGCCCGGGGCCCCGTGGCCGTGTTTTCCGCGGGGCTGGAACGAGACACCGGATTCCAGGAAGCTCCAGGCCCCGTCCAGCTCCTGCCGGGGACTGGAGGAAAAGGCGCCGGGGAGGGTGAGCGTGGGCCCCCGCCGAGGGGCTGCACAGCCCCCAGCCCCACGCTGCCAGCCTGGGGTGCTCAGGGAGCAGGACCCTCATTTGGGACCCCCAGCACCCCTGTCTGGGAGGTTGGGGAGCAGCCGTGTGCTGGGGTCTGTGCCGGCACAGGCGCCTGTGGGGGCTCCTCTGGGCTGTGCCTCCTTCTGCCCACAGGGACCCACGGGAGCGGGGCCGGCGGGGGGGGCCCCCCCCCAGCCCCTCCTGGCTGCTGCTGGTCCCGTGGGGGGCAGCGGGAAGGGGCCGGGGGGGGCCAGCAGCTGCCTGTGTCTGCCAGGTTTGGGGTGCACGGTGGCCAGGCTGGCGGTGCTGGCCTCGCTTGGTCCCAGGCCAGTGGCGTGCGGGAGGGGGGACGGTGGGAGGGGTGGGGGGGGACAGGAGCGGGGTTGAGTAATTGGGCCCCGGTGCGGCTGGCGGGGTGCCCGGCGAGCTCTTGGCACCGGCGAACATAAACAGTTCTTCCCGCGCCTCCCTCCCCTCTGTTCCCCCCAGCCAGCGCAGCTCGGGGGCCACGGCCTGGCTGGGGGGGCCATGGGCAGCCCCCCCCTCCTTGCCCTGGGGGACAGGGTGTGCCGATGGGGGGGGGGGCCACACACGGGCTCCCCATCCCTGCGAGATCTGTCCCCTCCCCAGGGCTGAGCCACGGCCGCTGTGCCCAGGCGGATGCTGACCCGGTGTCCGGCATCGTGCCACGACGGTGCCTGTGGGAATCCCACCCGGGGTGTGTGTGTGTGTGTGTGTGTCGGGGGGGGGGGGGGCCACACAATCAACAACGTGACCCCCCCCCCACCCCAGCCATTGCCGGGCGCCCACCCTGGGGGCAGCTTGGACCCTGGATCTCCCCACGGGTGTGGGGGGCAGCGTTGGGGCTGTGGGTGCTGGTGGGAGCTGGGAGGATGGGGGTCCTGCCTCCAGTGGGTGCACCCAGCTGGGTGCTGGAGGGGTGTGGAGGGGGGGGGGGGGGGGCAGGGCCGTGCCCAGCCCAACCCCTCCCCAGTGCCTCGCCGGGCGGCCCAGCCTTGTTCCTCTGGATCCTTTTCCGCCTCCGCGGGGCCGGGAGCCAGCACTCTCGGCAAATAAACAGCCCCCGCCGGGCCCCGCGCCAGCGCTTAAATAAACAGCCAGCCCGGGATTGTGAAAGCCCCGTGTCCCCCTTCCCACCGCCGCCCCCCCATCCCCTCCCCACTCCTGGCCTGGGCAGTGGGCTCCGTGGCCCGCCGGCTTGGCGTGGGAGCTGCCGGGATGGTGCGGGGCGAGGGCTGCGCCGCGATGGGCAGAGGCTACTAGCCCTGTGGCAAGCGGCCAGGAGGAGCCCCTTTGGGTGTTGGCCCCAGGGGGGGCGATGAGCCCCCTCCTGTCCCACCTGGGGCCAGGTGGCTGAGCCCCCTCGCGCTCAGTGCAGGTGTGGGGGGAGCGGAGCTGGCGGGGGCGTGCGGCTGCAACGGTAGAGAGCGGGGCTGGAGCGGAGCCGCTGTCCTCAGGGGACCCCAGCGTGCCCGTGCCTGTCGTCCCCGTCCCCGTCCCCCCCCCCCCCCGGCTGCCTTGCAGCCCCCTGGGCTGTCACAGGGAGTGCTGCCTCCCCTGCACCCCCCCTCTGCACCCTTGCTGCCAGGGCAGGCTTGGGGGAGCAGGTTTGGGGCCGTGGCATGGCCCCTGGCTGCGGGGGTGCCTCGTGGGGCCAACAGTGTCCCCACGCCGTCCCCTCGCCCGCTAAACCAGGATTAGTGACCGGTGCCTGCCGGGCCCGGTGTCGTTAATCTGGGGGATTGTCGTTAATCTCGTGGGGAGCGCGGGGCCCGGCCGGCTGCGCCCTCCTGGGGCTGGGAGGGGATGCGGCCCTTGGGGAAGAAGGGAGGGGGGCGGGGGGTGTGGGTTGGGGTGTCTGGGGAAACTGAGGCACGGTGGTGGGGGCCAGGCATCCCAGCCCCTCTGCTAACCCCCTTCCCCTCTCTTTGCTCCCCCCCCACAGTGTCACAGGAGCCAGCGAGGACAGCCGCCGGGCAGCGGGTCGCCCACGGGCCCCATGCTCTTCTCGGCCCCCGCCTGAGCCTGAGAGCCCCCCCCCCATCCACGCCGGAGAGCCCTGCCATGGCCAGCAATAGCAGCTCCTGCCCCACGCCCGGTGGGGGGCACCTCAACGGTTACCCTGTGCCCCCCTACGCCTTCTTCTTCCCCCACATGCTGGGGGGGCTCTCGCCCCCCAGCACCCTGGCTGGCATCCAGCACCAGCTGCCTGTCAGCGGATACAGCACCCCCTCGCCCGCCAGTGAGTACCGCGACCCCATGGGGTGGGGGGGACACACACACGACCCCCAGCACTTGGGGGGGTGTGTGTGCGGGGACCCCTCTGTGCCAGCGCCTGTCCCCAGTGTGGGACTTTAGTGTTGTCCCCAGGCTGCTGCTCCAGCACCGGCACTGGTGGGGGATGTGTGGGGGGGTTTGGGGGGTGTCTCCTTACCCCCAGCCCCCACAGCAACCCACCCGTGGGGTGCTCTGTTTGGGGGGCACGGGCTTCCTGCCCGGTGGGAAACGAGCGCGGGGCGCTTCTCCCCGTGTATCCCCGTTAGCGCTGCCGCTGGGGAAACTGAGGCACGGAGCGGGCAGTGGCGCTCGGCGGGGTGTGTGTCAGTTAATTGCTGCTGTGTGGCCGCCTTCGTTAATGGCCGTGTTTATACCCCGGCTGTTAACGGCCCAGCTGGCCCTGCTTAGTCGGCTGTCACCGTCCCCGGCACCCACCGCCGCCGGGCTGGGAGATGGGGGGCTCGGCGGGGCCGGGGGGGCCGGGGTTGCGCTGCGTCCCCGCGGCGGCTCTTTGTTCGCCGGCGGCGCGGGGGCCGCCCGTGGGGGAGGCGATGAAGGCAATCATCGCGTCTGCTCCTGATTCCATTTCCCCCTGACAGGGTCGTCCATCACGGCCCCGGTAATCACCGCCCTGCCGCGCCGGCAGCTGGGAGCCGCTGGAGGTGGGCTCCTGCCGGGGTCCTCCCCGCGCCGGGACCCCAGCCCTCGGACTCGTGGCGTGCCTCAGTTTCCCCGGACGCTCGCTGGGTGCCGTGGGGAGGCAGCCAGACCCCCCCCCCCCCCCTCCCCACCTCCTTCCCCACGCCCGGCACCGCTGTGGATGGGTGCCCTTGCCCGTTCCCGCGCCGTGCCGGCATGGGTGCCCCGCGGCACCCGCCGTCGGGGAGGCTCCCGTGGGTCGGGGCGTGGCAGGGCACCCCCCCCATCCCCGCTCCCCCCCCTCCCTGGCCCCGGGGGACGGTGCAGGCCCGGGCAGGGCCGGCCCCGGGCGCTGTCCCCCGCCGGAGCCGCCCCGACGGCGGTGGGACCCAGTGGGACCAGTTCAGCGACTGGGTGGCGGTGGGTGGGGCCCCTCCCCCGCGCTGGCTCTGGGGCCATTCCCGCCGCACGGTGTTGTGGGAACGAGCTGGGGGGGGGCGCCTGTCCCGTGTCCCCCCTTTTGGGGACCGGGCAGGGCTGGAGGGTGCCCTGGGGCTGATGGCAGCCAGCTGAACTGTGCCTCAGTTTCCCCTTGGCCTTCCCCACTGGGGTGGGATCCTGGGAGGACGCAGGGGGTGGGGGCACCCTGTCTGCCCCCCCCCCCAACAGCCCGGTGGGTGCCCTGTTTGTGTAGGTCTTGCAGTATTTGGGAGGCCCCCACTCTTGCTTTTGGCCGGGGGTCCGTGTCCCAGCTGGGGGGCTGCGGGGGGCCCGGCACTGCCCCCCCCCCTCCTGATGTGCGTCCGGCCCTGCTGCCGACCCGCCCTCGCCAGATGTGCTGCAGCTGCGCAGCCCTGGGGCTGATCCGGCTGGGCCCCCCCCCCCCACCCCCCTGGGGTTTGGCCGGGCACCCTGCTGGGGTGTCAGGATGGGGATCTGGGGGTGCAGGGGAGCTACCGGTGCCGGATCGGGCCCCGTGGGGTGCTGCAGACTTTGCCCCCAGTGCAGGGAAATGGGATGGACCATATCCTGTGCGTGGTGCTGAGGGCTGCCCCACTTGCCGCGGGTGGGGGGGCTGGGGGGAGGTTACACCCCCCGGCCCAAAGTGGGGTGTCCCCGCGTGCCACCGTCCCAGCCGGGGCCAGGCCTGGCAAAGGGGAAGTGAGCGGAGGTGCTGGACATGGCCCTGGGGACCGCTCCCCCCCGGCACAGCCACCCCCCCGGCACGAATGCTGTGGGAACCCCACACTGGGCCCCAGCTGGGGGGGACCCCGGGTGGGCGTGGGGCCTCCCCACTCCCAGCGGCGTGTGGGCACGTGTGGGGGTGCGTGTGCATGCCCGTGTGCGCACGCTGTGTCTGGGGGGGGGGTGTGTGTGTGGGGGGGGTGTGCATGCCCCCCTCCCCCCGCCGTGCAAGGGGGGTGTGCACATCCGTGTGTGCGTGGAGCTGGCTGCGTGTGCGTGTCCGTGGCGCTGTGCGCCTGCGCCGCCGGCGCGTGTGCGTGCACGCCCGTGTGCGCGCAGCTGGGGCTGCTTGTGTGTGTGTGTGGGGGGTGTGCGCACGTGTGTAGCAAGCGTGTTGGGGGTGGGGTGGGGTGTGTATGCGTGCTCAGTGCCCGGCCCACCATGCGTGTGCCTGTGCCTCCACGCCTGTGTCCCCGTGCCATGTGTGTGCACGCGTGTCGGTGCGTGTGGTGGTGCCGGGGCTGTGCCTGGCCCCTCATCCCTGTCCCCAGGGGCTCCGCGGTGGCACCTGGGGGTCTCCTCACCCAGCGCTGGCCCACGGAAGGTTTTGGGGGGGGGGGGGATTCCTACCCATCACCCCACGAGGGGCTCCCTGCTGCACCACCAACCGCCCCCCCCCCCCCCCCCCCCGACCCTCCCTCTGCCCTGGTTCCCAGGCTGTGGGAAATGGGACCCCAGCGCGGCCCCCTCCCCCTGCAGCCGGGCCCCCCGGCCCCGCTCTCGGCTGCCGGGACGGGGGGCCCCCGCGGCCGGGCCCGGCCTGTCACCCTACCCGCTGGCTCCGGTTTCTTCCGCGCCGCAGCCGCTCCCCCGCAGCGCCCCGTAATTAATTAATTTTTAAAAATTAATGAGCAAAACGTGCTCCTTACAGGCCGGGGGCTGCGGGTCGGGGGTGGGGGGGGGGGAGCGGTTGGCGGAGCTGGGGGGCCCCGCTTAGGGCAGGGGCCGGGGAGCTCCTGCGGGGTACGGTGCTGGGGACCCCCCCGGCCCCCCCATCCCCGCTCGGGGAAGATTGATGAGGCCGGGCTGGGCGCTGGGCCCCCGCGCCTGGGAAAGCCCATTACGGCGGAGGTTTTCTATCACTGTCACGGGGGCCGGGGGGAGCCGCCTGCGCCGGCCGGGAATTCGCCGCGCTCAAAAGCCGCTGAAGGGGATAAATGGGGTCTTTTGAAGTGGGCGGGCGGGAGGGGGGCTGCGGGGCCCCGAGGTGCCGGCGTGGGGATGGGGGGAAGGGGCTGGGACCAGGCACCCCGTATCCCGGGCTGGGTTTGCGTGGGGGTCCCGGGGGCCCCCTGCCCACGTCCCGCTGGCTGCCGGGGCTGCGACCCTGCGCTCCCCAAGCTGCCCACGCCCGCCACAGCGGGGTCTCCCGTGGGGTCCCCGTGGGCTTTGGGGCCGGGTCCCCATCGTGCTCGTGGGGGCATCTCGTGTTCCCGAGAGCATCGGCCGCCCCTGTGAGCGGGGCCAGGAGGAAGCAGGGCTGGGGGTGCTGCGAGGGGGGGGGGGGGCCGGGCCCAGCCTGGTGTGTCCCCGCTGCTGGCGCGGCGGTGGGATGTGGCAGTGGGACAGGGGGGTGTCCCCGTCCCCCTCGCACCGCGGGGCTGCGTGCCGGGCGCTCCCCTCGCCCAGTTCCTCTTGGCTTCTGCATTAAGGCTTTGTTTTTTTTTTTTTTTTTTTTTTTTTTTGTGTGTGTTTTTTTTTTTTTTTTTTTTTTTTTTGTTGTTTTTAATCTCTGTTTCTTCCTGTTGCCGCCGGCGTGGGACGGGAAGCGCTGCCTGGCGGGGCGGCCGCCGGCCTGCGTGCACGGCACAGCCGTGGCCGAGCCGTGCGGGGCCACCGGCCCGCGTCCCCTCCGTCCCCAACGTCGCAGCCACATTCTTTCCAGCGCTGGTAAATGAGTCAAAGCAGACATTTGTCATGTTCGCTGCAGGAAGTTGGAGGAGCGCTGGGCTTTTGTTCAGAAACCTGCTGGCTAAGCAAAGCCTTTGACTTTCTATTATTATTTAAACAGGCGCTGCTGATCTGCTCTGCGCAGACACACACGCACACACATACACACGCACACACCTCCCGGCCTTTTTCATATTCTTTTTTTGTTTTTCCTCCCGTTTTCCACCCCACCCCGCCTCCCCCCCCCCCGCCGGAGGGGGGGGGCAGGTTGGATGTGAAAGTGGGGCGGCCCTGGCTGCTCACTTTGGGGTCGGGGGGCTGCTGGCGTGTGCGGGGCCAGGGCGCGTGGGTGTGCAGAGCTCGGCCGTGCCCTCGGCGTCGGGGTGTGTGTGCGTACTGCCATGCGTGTACACACGCATGCACACGCGTGTCTGCTCCTGCACGCTCCCTGCTTGCTGCGTGTGGTTGTGCAGGGCTGGCGTGTCCAGCCGTGCCCATGTGTGTGCCCCTGGCAGGATGGGGGAGGGGAGGGGTCAGAGGAGCCCTGCAGCCCCCTGGGCTCTCCCTCTAAGGGCACCCCGGCGGGGGGGCTGGGGCAGAGCAGACCCCCGTGGCATGGCAGAGGCCATGTGCCCACTGTGGACACACAAGTCTGGGCCCCACGGTGTGGCTGTGCTGAGAGGGCGGGTGGGTGAATTGGGGTGGCAAGGGGGGGGTTCCTGGGGTGGGGGGGTGGCACCACTGTCGCCACGGGCCTTGGTGTGGGTCCGTCCTGGCCGTGCCGTGTGGGGTGATGCCGGTCTGGGTGGGCAGTGCTGTCACCAGTTGTGTGGCCCCAGGTTTAGGGTGTCCCCTCGGGTGGGGGCCCATGTGCGTGGGCAGCGCAGGGGGGAGGGGTAGCATGTGGTGCTCTGCCTGGCACAGGCCACACGCAAGCACACACATGTGCAGTGGGGGTGTGCACATGCGTGTACATGCCCCCCATGTGTTCAGCTGCTCCTGTGCTCAGCAGGGACACGGTGTCACACACATGTATGTGTGTGCAGGAGGAATGTGCATACGTGTCTGTGTGCACAGGCTGCCCCATGCACAAACACGCATGCACACACACACATATCTTCCCCCCCTTTGCCACCCTCCCCTCCCCGGGGGCGATGTAGTGGGAGCACACGTGGGCCCCTCGGCCGTGGGGATGGAAACAAGCGCATCATGCAGCGGGCACATGCGTGAACACACATGCATGTGCACACACGCCCACCTTCCCCCCCCCCCCCCCCGTGCTGTGGCACCCGCACCCCGGGGGGGCGGCCGGGGGTCAGCCCGAGGTGAGCCCTTCCCCGCCGGGTTCACCCGCAGTTCACCCGCATCCCATTAGGCAAATGAGCCGCGGCCCCGGGCCCCCCCCCTGATTCCCCCCGGCCCGCTCCCGCGTGGCGCGGGCCGCGGCGTGTGTGTGTCCCCACGCGCGCCCGCGGCCGGTGGAGGGGGCGGGGGGGGTGCGTGGGCAGCCCCGCGGCGCGGAGCGGGTTAAGGCTGTGGGGAGGCGGCTGGTGTCGGGAGGGACCGGGGCTGCCGGAGCCGCAGAGCCGGCGGGGCTGCGCCTTCCTCTCCTCCTCCTCCTCCTCCTCCCCCTCCTCCTCCTCCTCCTCCTCCTCCTCCTCCTCCTCCTCCTCCTCCTCCGCCTCCCGCCCGGGCGCGGAGCGGAGCGGCGGGGCCCCGCTCCCCGGCTGAGCCGCGGCGGGGCCATGGCAGCGCGGCGCTGGGCGCCCCGGGGGCCCGGTTGCCGCGGGGGGGGGCACTGACCGCCCGGGGCCGCCCCCGCCGCCGGCCCGGGGGGGAGCCGCCCCCGCGGCCCCGGGCCATGTACGAGGGCGCGGCGGTGGCGGGGCTGCCCCCCGGCCCCTTTCTCCGGATGGATTTCTACGGGCCGGGCCGGGGCTGCCTGCTGCCGGAGCGCGGCCCCCCCGCGCCCCGCGGGGCCCCCCGCCGCCCCCCGCCCTGGAGCAGCTCCGGCCGCTGTAGGTACCTGCGCCCCGGGGGGCGGCCGGGCCCCTCACCGCCGCCTCGGGCCGGTGCTGGAGCCCGCCCGGGCGGGACGAGCGGCCTCCAAACCCGGCGCTGAGCCGGGCGGGGCTGCGGGGATGGGTGCGGGGTGCGGGGATGGGTGCGGAGCGATGGGTGCTGGGGGCTCGGCCGTGGGCGGGGGCCTGAGCAGGGTGCTGGGTGTTGCTCCGGGGGCGGGGGGGGGGGGGCTGCCGGGCTCAGCGCCCTCCCCGCCGGCTCCGTGCTCCCGGCCAGAAACACCCCGTGTCCTATTTCGGGGAGGGCTGGGACGGCGGGGCCGGGGCCCGGCGGGGTTTCCCCCCCCCCCCCGCACCCCCCTTTCCCGCGAGTGGGGTCCGCAGCCGCGCCAGCTCCGCCGGGAATTTCGCTCCCTCCTGATAAGGGCTCTGAGAAAATCCAATTAACTCCAGAGCCGCTGCGCCTGCTGCTGCCGCTGCACGGGCGGAGGGGGAGCGCCAGCGGGGACCCCCCCGCGCCGCGGCCGGGTCCCCCTGCGTGGGGTGTCCGGGGGGGGGGGCCCAGACAGTCCTGCTGGTGGGATCCTGCCTGGTGTCCCTGGGGGGGGGAGGCGGTCACTGCCCGGGGTTACCCGTGGGTCCCCCGCTGTCCTTGGGGGTGGGCAGGCCCTGCGCAGATTGGGGGGTGCAATGGGGGGGGTGGAGGCAGTGGGAGCAGGCAGGGGTACGGGCAGCGCACCCCGAGTTGCCTTCCAGCCTGGGGGCTGCCACCCCCGGGGGGATGTGGGGACCCGCTGTCCTTTGTGCCCACCCTGTGGGGGTGAGGGTGGTGCCAGGGGTGAGCAGAGGCTGGGTGGGCTGGAGGGGGGTCCCATGTTGTGTGTGTGTGTGTCCCCCCCGCAGTGGGCACCCAGCCGGCCTGGCCCAGTGCCCAGGGGCCGCGGGTGACGATAACGACCTGGGGAAAGTCCTGCCGGGCTCTGTAGGACTTTCACCCTGATGAGGGCTGTGGGGCCCTCCCGTGGGGTGCAGCGAGGCCAGGGGGGCACCTCATCCCCGGGGGGGCTGGTGAGTCCCTCTCCCTGATGCCGGTTCACCCTTCCTGCGGTGGTGCCCGTGGCCGGCGCTGTGTGTGTGGGGTTGAGGGGGGGGTGTGTGTGTATGTGGCTGTAGCCCCCCCCCGGTCTCGCTCCCCCCCATTGTCTCAGGGCCGCTCGACCTTTCTGCTGGCATTGGGCACGAGCGCGGTGCGAGGGGCCTTTGTCTGCAGCCGGGGATGGCGTGGGGCTGCCGTGGGGGCTCCCCCGGTCTCTGTGGGGGGGTGCTGCCTTTGGGG